CACACACACACACACATACACACAGATGAAAAGCACTGTCACACCAGAATTTTATATTCAGAGAAAATATCCCTCAAAATGAAGGAGAAAGACATTCTCAGATAAAGAATAAAGAATAAAATTCAATTACAGGAGATTTCCCTTAAAATAATGACTACAGAAAATTTTCTAAACAGATAAAAATAATAATAAAGAATATTGAAACGAGAAAAAAAATCACATTTCACATTGTCTTGAGAGAATTATGTTTGAAAGTTGAAGCAAAAGTTATCACACTGTCCTATGTGGTTCTAAATGTAGGTATAGAAAACAATTATGATAATAAATTATGATAATGATAATAAAGGGAAACAAGGTTTCTAAACTACTGATGAACTGGTAAAAAGTTGATACCAGTAGACTGCAGTGAGATACAGCAACCACTAAAAAGAGAAATATATCATACGAAGACACACTCAACAACACTGTAGACAGGTTTTATTAGTCTGCTTTGGCTGCCACAACAAAATATCATAGACTGGTTGACTTAAATAACAGAAATGTATTTTTTTCACAATTTTAGGGGCTAGAAGTTCCAGGCCAAGTTTCCAGCAATTTAGATTCTGGAAAGGGCTCTCTTCCTGATTTGCAGATAGCAGCTCTGTCCCTATGACCTAACATGGCCTTCTTTGGTGCATGTGTGTAGAGAGAGAACGAGCTCATTTGTCTCTCTTCTTATAAGGATACTAGTTCTGTCAGATCGGTGCCCCACCCTTATGATATCATTCAACCTTAATTGCCTTTTTAAAAGTGCCATCTCCAAATACAATCACACACAGTAGAAGTTAGGGATTCAACATATGAATCTGGTCAGGGTAGCACAAATACTCATTTTGTCATACATCTCTAAAACCGTGAAAAACAGGAGCAAAATAAACCCAAGACAAGCAGCAGGATGGAAGTGATAAAGATAAGAACAGGAAGAAATGAAATTGTAAATAGAAAAAGTGATGGAGAAAATCAATAAAAAATGAGCTGGTTCTTTGTAAAGATCAATGTATTTGACAAACTTCTTACAAGACTGACAAAGAGGAAAAGACACAAGTTACTAATAATGAAGAAGGAAAATCTCAACAGACCACACAGACACTAAAATGATAATAAAACAATACTACAAAAGGCTCTGCATACAAAATTTAGCAAGTTTCATAAAATGTGCCAATCCCTAGAAAAGTACAAATTCCCAAAATTCATCCCGTATAAAGGAAACTGAATAGCCCTACTAATTATTAAGAAAATTGAATTTGTGATTAAAAGCAACAATGAAAAGCCCTCTAAACCCAAGTGATTTTCCTAAATAATTCTGCTGAATGTTTACAGAAGAGCCAATTCCTCACAATCTCTTCCAAAAAATAGAAGAGGAGGAAATGTTTCCCAGTTTTTTTTTTTTTTTTTAACGAATCTAGAATTACCTAGATATCAAAACCAGAAAGAGATAGGAAAGGGGGAAAAGGAAGAAAGCTAATATCTGTCATGAATATAGGTACAAAGTGCAAAGTTTCTAACAAAATTTGGCAAACAGAATTTACTAACATAAAAATTAATTCCACACCATGACCAAATAAGTTGATTCCAGAGATGCAAAGCTGATTTGATGTTGGAAATCATTCAAAATAATACACCATACTAAGATGTTAGAGAAGAAAAGCCATATGATTATTTCAATGAATGCAGAAAAAATATTTGACAAAGTTCAACGATGATTACATATAAAAACTCTGAGGAAAACAGCAAAGGCCATTATCTCAAGCCATAAGTGTCTTCTACTTAGCTAATATTATACTTAATAGTAAACTTCTAAGTGCTTTCTCTCTAAAATTTGAAATGAGAAAAGGATATTCACTTTCACCACTATTATGCCACATCATACTGAAGTTTCTAGCTGGTAAAATAAGGCTACAAAAGAAAATAAAAACATTCAGATCACAAAGGAAAAATGAAAGTGATTTATTTTTGCTGATTACCTAATGATCTATGTATAAAATCCCTAGGAGTCTATAAATAAACTTCTAGAAATAACAGTGGCTTCAGCAAGATCGAAGAAGTAGTATAAACATACAAAATCAATTCTTTTTCTATATACTTGCCACAAAAATAGAAAGTATGGTACTATTTACAATTACGGAAAACAACAAAACCTGGGTGTAAGTCTTTCAAAACAGGTACAAGATTTATATAGTAAAATATTTTAAAATTACAAGATTAATCAAAGCAGATTTAAGTAACTGAAGAAACAAATCTTAATTCATGGTTTGGGAGATTCAATATGGTAAATTTGCCAATTTTCTCCAAATTGAAAAGAAGTTTATCACAATTCCTATCAAAATCTCAGCAAGATTTTTAGTAGATATAAGCAATATAATTCTAAACTTTTTCTGTAAAGGCAAAGGAAGTAGAATTGCTAAAACAATTTTGGAAGGGAAAAATGGGGTGAGGGGACATCTCTACTCAGTTCCAGGACTAACTGTATAATAACAGCGATCAGGACTGTGGTGTTGACATAGAGATACACACATAGATGTATCAAGTAGAATTGAGAATCTAGAAATAGATGGAGATATATACATACATATATATATGTCATAGCTGATTTTATACACAATCAGATGCAATTTAATGGAAGAAAGCTAGCCTTTGCAATAGATGGTGCTGGAGAAATTGGTCACCCCTAGGCCAAAAAGAGAAGAAAAAAATAAGCTTAGCTTATGCTTAATATTTACATAAAGTTAACTCAAAATGCTATTAGATTTAAATGCAAAATAAGGAGCTACAATTTTTTTTTTTTTTTTTTTTTTTTGTCAACAAATGAGAAAATCTTCAGGATCTAGAGCTAGGCAAGGAATTTCTCAACTTGATACAAAAAGCATTTTTATAACCCATAAAAAGAAGAACTGATAAATTGAAACTCAACAAAATTAAAACTTTTTTCTACTCCAGACAATGTAAAGAGAATAAAAATTCAAGATAAAGGCAGAAGAAAATATTTTAAGCAGTATATCAATTAATAAACTAGTATTTAGAATACATTTAGAACTCAAAAAACTCAACGGTGAAAAAACAAATAATTCAGTGTTTCTTAAATGGGTAAAAGACCCGAAAAGACATTTTATCAAATAAGTTATACAGAAGGCAAATACGTATGCAAAAAGAAATTCAACATCACCAATCTTTAGGAGATTAGTTATTAAAAGCACACGGAGTCACATGTGTAATCCCAGCATTTTGGGAGGCTGAGTTGGGCAGATTGCATGAGCTTAGGAGTTGGAGACAAACCTGGGCAATGTGGCAAAACCCTGTCTACCTGAAAAGAAAAGAAAATAAAAGAAAAATTAGCTGAGCGTGGTGGCCTGTACTTCAGTCTCCCTAGTTGGGAGGCACAAGTCACAGAAAATATATATGCTGGATGATTTCACTTATGTGAAGTACTTAGTGTAGTCAACATTATAGAGACATAAAGTTTTGTGACTTGGAATTGGGCAGTGGTTTCTTAGCTGCAACATCAGAAAGACAACAAATAAGTAAATAAGAAAAGATTGATAAATTGGACTTCATGAAAATTAGAACCTTTTTTGCTTCAAAGAACACCATCAGGAAAGTTAAAGTCTCAATGAACTACAAATAGCAAAACTTTACTGAAAAAGGAGAACAGAGCTGGAGGACACAACTTCCTGCCTCAAAATTTGCTACAAAGCTTTGTTAATCAAAACAGCATGGTGCTTTCCTAAATACAGGCACATAGACTAATAAAATAGAACAGAGATTCTAGAAATAAGCCTTCACATATGTAGTCAAATTATTTTTAACAAGAGTGCCAAGACCATTCGATTGGGAAAATAGTCTTTTCAAAAAAAGATTCTGGGAAAACTGCCATACATGCAAAAGAATGAAGTTCAACACTAAATTAACACCATAGTCCATATTACACTCATTACAGTAGCTACTATCAAAAAATGGAAAACAACAAGTGTTGGTAAGTATGTGGAGAAATTAGAACTTTTGTGTACATTGAGAATGTAAAATGATACAGCCACTGCAGATAGCAGTATGAGAGTTCCTCAAAAAAATTAAAACATACTAGCCACATAGTCCAACAATTCCTCTCCTGCTTATATACTCAAAATATTTGAAAGTAGTATTTCAAAGTGATATTTGTATACCATGTTTTTAGCATCATTCACAGTAACTAAGATGTGGGGAAAACTCTAATGAATGATTGAATTGAAAAATGGAATATACATACAATGGTATATCATTTAGGCTTAAAATGGGAAGAAATTCTGACATATGCTATCACAGGGATGAAACTGGAGCACATTGTGCTGAGTGAAATACACAAGTCACAGAAAAGATATATGCTGGATGATTTCACTTATGTGAAGTACTTAGTGTAGTCAACATTATAGAGACATAAGGTAGAACTGTAGTTGCCAGTGCCTAGGCACTGGGGTAATGGGGTAATGAGGAATTATTGTTTAATGTGCAGAGAGCTTCAGTTTTGCAAGACGGAAAGAGTTATGGAGATTAATCCTGGTGATTGTTGCACAATATTAAGATACTTAATACCACTGAACTGTATATTTAATAATGGTAAAGACAGTAAATGTTGTTATGTGTATTCTTACACAATAAAAAATTGTGGAAAAAATGAAGACAAAATAACTTTTTTAAACAAATGACATCATCAAGAGTTTTAATTCTATTGAAATCTTCTCTGAACAGTATTTTGTTGTTCAAAATAATTGAAAGAACATCCTATAACACATTATATAAAAATTAAATATAAAAAGACCTTTTAATATATATGAATGTTATATACATATGTGTATATGTGTGTGTGTGTGTTTTATATGTGTGTGTATGTGTGTGTATGTATATGTATATCATATCAGAAAAATATTTGGTCACGTGTTCAGGCAAATGTTTGATTTTGTTGACTAGTGATGGTGTTAAATCATTTTCAGATATTTTATGGCATGTAAATATTGCTGCCCTAGGACATCCAACTGATACCATGAACTTCCGAGCTTCAGTGAAGGTGTGTTCATCATGTAGAATTAGCAATTTATTGACTGAATATAATTGTCAGCCATGGGATTATGGACTTGCAATCTAAGCGTTTTTTAAAAGGAAACATATTTTATTAATTTCATTGGCACCTGATTGGTCTTCTTGATCACTTTAGTGTTTTATGTAGTGGAGGTCTCAATTAAGCAAGAAGGGCTATGAAAGAAATTTTCCTTTCTGGTACACATAACATTGTAAAATTAAAAAGTGTAAAGTAACATTAAATATAATAAAACCTAAGGCCAGAATACCCCTCTGTCAATGCAAGAATGGAATAATATTGGAGGGCTGAGATAATATTTGAGGGGTGAGATAATATTGGAATATTTAAGAAAAATGTGTAAGGAAGAAAGATCTCATCTTTCTTATTGTTTAGTACTCTGCATCTCACAGCACCTCATTGTAGAAACTACAGTATGACCTTATTGAGTGTGGCTATACAGAAGGAAGTCCTCACTTTAAATATTCAAAGCTTTTCTCCATTTTTATCTTACATGAACAGTGTTAATATGGGAGTGGATAATATAGTCCCTTATAATATAATATGGAAATCTTGATATGGGATCTCTGTTGCCAAAACATATAAAGTGAACTTCCTGGTTCATGGTTATATGGGAATCACAGCAGACCCAAAATGACAGGTGGAGACTATGTAGATAGACTTGAGGGCATCTGCAGTATTAAGGGCTGATGTAGAGCTGCCACATCCCAGGAGATGCTATAAATATGTACAATTAATACAAAAAGAAGACTAATGTAAAAAAAAGTTTGGGAATTGGCATGAAATATGCCATCAATGACAGCATGGGGTGATACAAGCAGGTATCAACTAAGAGCAAAATCTGGGCTAGTGATTTCTAATCAGAGGCTGCTGAGGATATCACTTTTACTTGACCCCCATATGGTCAAATAATTCACATGAGTCAACTGTGAATCCACTTCATATCTTGGAAATTAGCAATAAAGTATGTATGGAAAATATTCTTTTAAAAGAACATTTTATCTAACAGAAACTGCATTACTTATGGGCATATAAAAATTATCAAATTAGAATGACTTTTCTGGATTTTAACAAATCCCCATCTCTCTTACCATAGTGAGGATTTTTAATGGAGAAGAATGACTTAAAAGGAAACAAAACAAGAAAGGAATAAAATGAGTTATCTTTATGTCTGAATATAGTGTCAGTAAATTTGGGACCGCACATAAACAATGTAAAGTGTGTATAAGATAGAAAAAATCTATACTAAAGAAATACAAATTCTCTCTATGGAAAGACTGAGGTAAATTTTAGACACACACACACACACACACACACACACACACACACACACACACACACCACTTGAATAAGATTATTGAATGGACATTCATCAGATGCCACTAACTAGGAGGAACATTATATAAAGTAACCAGGATGTCCAATGTCACTGTATCATCATATATTCTAGAAGTTTGGGAGAAACAAGAGGTTTTAGAATCATTTAAGTTTGAAGTGCAAATAAAAGAATGATGAAAGACTAGACTTCAGAAATAGAAAGAATTAGGTGATGGATTGTCTACGAAAATGTTTTTTAAAAGGGAGGGCTATGATTTGATATGTGTTTTGGCTTGATCACTGCCTTAGCAGTATGAAAAATTCACATAAAGATGGAAGATACTTGAGCAGAGAGATTACTTATGAAATATTTGTAGTAATCCTGGAGATTCAAGATGAAGATCTGCTCAAAGTAAATTATTAGTGGCAGGAATCCATAGGTGAAAAGAAATTTGAAAGATATTTGAGAGTGAAATTGATAGTATTCAGTAAATGGTTGGCGAAGGTTACTGAGGGAAAAAGTGAAGACATGGACCCTTCCTTAAATATATATGTTTATAATTGGATGACCACTAGTGCCATTTGTATAAAGTTAGAAAAAGCAGGGGTGAAGTGGGTTTGAGTCAGAGATCAAAAAGAGGAAATGCTGAGTTCCGTTTTTAAGTTGAATTCGTTTTCACCAGCACATCAAAAAGAAGAAGATGTCTTGCAACAAACATTCTCTTCAGAAACTCAAAACTAGGGATATGAATGTGCTGGTCAGTGACTTACCTATCTACCATCCTCTTGTGCTTCTAAGCTCTCTGACTGGGACTACAGGCATACACCACCATGCCCAGCTAATTTTTGTATTTTTAGTAGATACGGGGTTTCACCACCTTAGTCAGGATGGTCTCAATCTTGACCTCGTGATCTGACCGCCTTGGCCTCCCAAAGTGCTGTGCTGGGATTATAGGCGTCAGCACTTATTTGCAAAAAGAAAGTTTGCATTCCTTCCATTATATTAAAACTAATGTAGATATTTATATGATACAGAGGAAACTAAACATCAGGATTTGGATTCAGTTTTAGCTGGGACAAGACGTGAAATAAATATTGAAATTATTATAATATCCATATTTTCTGAATGGATTACATTGAGAAAATGTTTCTTTTTTTTTTTTTTCATTCATTTTGATTAACTAGCAATCTTACCAGAAATGGAATGTCATGGCAAATACATCAGTATACTCAACTTAAATCTTTAATATTATTCTTTACACAAATAGTTTGTAATATCAAAAAAATCACTTTCCTGACAGGAACTAAAAAGAATAACAAAAGCACTAAAATGAAAGCCAGCATTCCACTGAGTTAGACAGAAATTCATTTAACTTGTTAGGATTCTGTCTGAAATAACTGCACTCAATTTGCTAATAGGTCTGTGAGTTCTTTTATAGGCTGTAAATTTTAAAACTGTTCCACTGACAGTTCAACATTCACAAAACTAGCTCTAGTTCTATCAACACACTGCATGAATTGTAAATTTCACATTTGGCAAGCAACAGAAATTACTTTACCTACAGTGAGTATTCTGAAATGTAATTTAAGACATGGTGTTTAGTCTTCTGTTTGTTAATAGCATCTACTGAGAAATAACTTTTATTGAGGAGCCAAACAACTGGAATTTATTTCATGCTCTATAATTTTATGAGAAACAAATGATAATAAACAGACTGATAGCATGACTATATTCACAAAAGCAACTTAGAGATTATACTCAGTCTAGATACTATGTTAATAATTGCACTTTTTACAGTAAGATACTTGATGTATATAGAATAAATCCATACTTATTAAAGGTAACATATTGAACTCTCAGAAGAGGTGAGCTTATTTGCGAAGTTTAGATTCCAGAGCTTAACTGCTTGAATTTCAATTAGTATTCACTGTAGTTGTTGTATTAAATGCAGATTGTGTTAATCTAGCTAAGAACAAAACAGAAACCTACACATTAGGGTATTGGTTAATTATCTTTCCATTACAAATATTTATTTAATTACACAATATAAACTTTTAAAGACCTGCTTATTATTCTCCCCATTTTACAGATGAGAAAACTAACACATTCAGTGGTGAAGAAACATGCCCAAGTTTACCAGCCAGTAAGTATTAAACTCATGTTATCAAACCAGCTAATACTCCATGGATGCCAAGGATATTTATTCTATTAAGAATTCTGTGCTAAATATATAACTGTAAAATAAAAAAGTATCTTACGATGATCTTAGGATGATCTAGCGGTCTTACTGGACTCACTAAAAGAAGATTACAATGTCTAACTTTTAAGAGAATATAATCTGAATTGATAATTATAAATGTCATTTATTTACCTAAAGATATCACCAAAATATGTTTTGGACTCTTAGCTGACTATACATTAAATGCAGAGTTCACTTAGGCCCCAAGTACTAGAAAATATCATATCACTCTAGATAGTCATTGTCACTATTACTCTTAGTTTACCTAATGGTCATTTAAAAATATGTAAGCTTGCATTTTTAACCTTCTTTTACTGGAGTTCATAAGTGAGGGTTTGGGGTTCATTGCACTGATGTAGCTCTCCTTACCTGATCATTTGTCAAAACTCTTATGTGTATTTATTACTTATATGTGTAAATGTATATTTCTGTGACCAACCAGCCATAGAATACATGTCCAGCCTGTAGGTTCTCTATGGTTGTTTAGTAAATCTTAACACATGTTTTTGTTTACTTGTTTGTTTTAGTTTCCTACAGATGCTTTGAATCATGGACTTACTTATGTTTCACAAATTGAGAGATGAAAATTTTATAGTAAAATATCTGTATTGCTTCCCTATAACAATTGTTCTAGACTTTCAAAATGCCTTTTTGTACTTTTCTTATATCTGACTTAACCTTATTTCTCACATCCTCTTCCTTTGGCTTTAATATCTACTTAATCAATACCTTTGATATCTATTATTGATCGTGGTAATGAATGAATTCTTTAATTTGTATAAATAAAGACTGGTATTTACATGTGTATTGCAAATAAGGAAACAAAGCAAAGCAAATCACACGATACCTTTTAGGGTATTTAAAATCTTGAAGTTTCAGAGTCAGAGCCAAAGGAAGTTTAACCAAAACAGTTATGATAAAATTTGGCATATCCTAAGACCATCAATGGTGATATATCTAATAATACTTACTAAATACTTAACTATGCATACTTATGGGCACAGTATATTTATAACCAAAGGTGAATGAAATATCTGAATTAGAAATACACACTATTTAGAAGAGTATTTGTAACCTTATTAAAGATATATTTGCATGATCTGAATGCTTTTCTTATGGCAGGCAGGAATAAAAGCTGTGAACAAAGTCTGAAAAGCATAATGACCGACTCTAACACATATAGGATACTACATTAGAGGACCACAGCAGAGAGGAATCATGGAAACAGATATGTGAATTGAATCTGATGTGGAAGGCACTGGCAACCTCTCTTCATAAAATAGAAATGTGTACCGTCTTTAGTGTTGTGGATTGCTGGTGATTGAGCAATTACTGTGAACCACTGACTCAGAGCTCAGATGTGGTTGTCGCTGTTATCGTTTGTCTTTTTGTTGTGCATGCTGAAATACCTCCATATCCAACTGCTTTGGGGCATAAATAGTAATCCTTGATAGTGTGACATATTTTTTTCTATTTGTAAACATTATATTGAAGTATCATAAACCATACAGAGAAGCACACAAATCATAGGTGTTCTCTTCAATGAATTTTCACCAAGTGAATGTCTCCATGTAACTACCATTTAGATTTTGAAAAAGAAAACATAAACAGGACCACAGATAACTGCCTTGCCTTTTTCGGACACTAAACTCTCTAAGGAGAATCCGACTTGACTTCTAGACCATAGACATATTTTACCAGGTTCTAGATTTTATATAAATAAACATATACAGCATATACTCTTATGTCTACTTCTCTTACTTAACATTGTGATTTTCAGTTTCATCCATATTATTTTATATATAGTTTTAAATAATTCATTCTCAGTGTTCCCAATAGAACTTTCTGCAGTACTAGAGTACTTCTATATCTGACCTGTCATATTGACGCTGTAAAATAACAGTAGCCATTATTCACGTACAGGTACTTAGTACTTAAAATATGATTAGTGCAAATGAGCAACTAAGCATTCCAAACAGTATACCACTCATTCTTATGTAGAATACTATTTGGGTATTTCATATTTATACTGTTTGGAATGCTATTGTTTTGCATTATATTTATATGTCTTTTCGTTTTGAGACGGAGTCTCACTCTGTCATTCAGGCTGGAGTGCAGGGTGCGATCTCGGCTCTGAAAGATTCTCCCTGGGGCCTGAAAGCTTAAGGGAATGGGTAGCTGCCCCCTCCTCAGACCCAGTCCCAAGGCTCAAGACCACTTGCGCCAGCAGCATGCGTCAGCAAGATAGCAGAAGCAGGCAGAGAGCTGGCCAGAAGATACGTAACCCCTGAAGATCCAGAGGGAGGCTGTCCAGGTGCTACGTAGCAGTCATGTCAGAGAGGGACACTTCGTGTTTACAGAGGACTATAAAACCCATGCCCTGTCCTCACTTGGGGCTGATGCCGTTTTAGGCCCCAGCTTGCCTGCACCCAGACGCTCATTAAAACAGCGTGTTGCTCCACATTGCCTCGTGTTGTTTGTTGGCACTCTCTGGGCGTTCAAATCCATACAAGAACCTTGAAGGCTCACTGCAACCTCCACCTCCCAGATTCGAGTGATTTTCCTGTCTCAGCCTTTCAAGTAGCTGGGATTACAGGTGTGCACCACCACGCCAAGCTAATTTTGTATTTTTGTTAGAGACAGGGTTTCACCATGTTGACCAAGCTGATCTCGAACTCCTGACCTTAGGTGATCTGCCCACCTTGGTCTCCCAAAGTACTGGGATTACAGGCGTGAGTCACGGCACCCGGCCTACTTTTCTATTTCTTTGGGGTAAAATATGTATATATTTCCATTAAGTATTTATGTAGGAGTCATATTACAACCTGTAACTTTAACAGATTCTGTCAAATTATTTTTCAAATAGGTTGCACCAAAGTATCCTCTTAACAGCAGGGTATGTGTGCTCTATCTAGTTACTCCACATTCTCATTAACTATATTGTCTGTCTCTCAATTTTACATTTTGGTAGATATTTGATACAGCAGTTGTGATTTTTACTTCCATTTTTCTTATTACTCAAGAAAGGGAACATTTTTTCATACATTATGAGAATGGCAGTTCACCAATGTGATCTTCCTCCCAAACACTCATAACCCAATGTATCAGAAAAATCCAATTGAGCGGCATTCTAGAAAAAAGCTGACCGGTACTTTTCACACTTTGAAAGCAATGAAAATCATGAAACGTCTGAGAATCTATCACTGTCAAGGAAAGCTTAAGCTACATGACCACTAAACATAATGTGGTTTGCTGAACGGGAACTTGGACCAGTAAAAGTACAGCAAGTAAACACTGAGACATTCTGAAAAAGGCATAGACTTTAGTTACTAATAATGTGTCCCATTAGTTCATTAATTGTAGTGAATACACCATATTCATGTAATATGTCAATAATACAAGAATATTAGTGTAGGTTATATGGGAATTCTCTGTACTATCATCACAAATTCTCTCTCAATCTACAACTGTCCTAAAATGAAAAATTTAAACACATAGACCTAGAATATTTTTTTTTTTGCATTGTTTGACTGTCCAGAATCATACTCCTAAATCTTAATAAACAACTTTGAAATACTCTACTAATAAAGATATTGCTCAATCTTAGAGTAGAAATTGAAGTTTCATGTCTATACATGTTTAAAAGAATTATTTTATTTTTTTCAAAATTCAGTGTAAAAGGTCACTAAATTCTTAAAGGTACCTTTTGTAGACTCTGAATGAGAGACTAAAAGGAACATAGATTTCTAAACTGCCTCACAGCACTGATACTCCATGATTGACTTACTGTGACAAATAGTAAATGAGATTTTTTTTTAAAGTCCACAATGCCACAGTGAGTAGTTTTTCTGCCCCAAGCATGCAGTAGGTAAAAGAAGCCAAATATGTCTTTTTGAGAAGGAAACATCACTTTTATTTTATCAACACATGAGATTAATTTCAGTAGAGCTGATCTCCATGAATATATTTCCCTTCTGACATTGCCAAGGTCAATGGAATTTTAACTTCCTGGTGCATTTGTACTGGTTACACAGCTTAAGCCTTCGTAGAGCAAATATAACTCACCATCTATCAAGTTTGCTTTTTAAAGTTCAAGTTGAATATTTCTATTTCTAGCTCAGCCTTTACATGCTCTGCTGGTTTTTTCTCTGTGCCATATTCCTTGGCTTCTTTTATGTACCTAAGATCTCAGATTATATTGATTAAGGTTTCTTAGTGAACACCAAAAAAAAAAAAAAGGGGAAATAAAAGATTATTGGATTTAAAGCAATAATTACTCATGAGCACTGAGCTTGCAAGCATAAACTAGGGTTGATGTTTACTATAATTAGAATTACGCGGTGATGAGAAAATTCAGTGTTATGTGTATATGTGTGGAAGAATGGGTAATGTGGTGGCCTTTTTAGACCATGTGACTTATGTGATTGTTCCAGACAGATTTTTAAATGAATGACTTCAAGCAATATACAAAGTAGAATAATGTACACAGATAAAAAATAAAAATATTGAATTTATACATCTTAAATAATTTGGTTTTAAACTAAATCTGTACTCTAGACATTTATCTTTACATATTTTATCCATTTGAAACATCTTTTAAGTTTTAGCAATTTATCATTTTTTTAATGAAGAACTCTATCAAAGCTGTTCCTCTACATTTGCCAATTCTAATACTGCCAGTTAAAGTAAACAACCCTGCAGTTTGATAAACGAAAGTTCTGCTGTATATTTCAAAAAGTAAAATACAACCAAGCACATCTGCTTGGGTATACTAAGGCATAAATATGATTTTACTTTTAATGAAAAACTCACCTGTTGTTTAATGAATGAATTTCTTTTTTAAATTTAACTTTTATTGTAAGTTCATGGGTACATATGCATTTTTGTTATGTAGGTAAACTTGTATCGTGGGGGTCTGTTTTATAGATGATTTTGACACCCAGATATTAAGCCTAGTACCCACCATTTTTTCTAATCCTCTCCCTCCTCCCACCCTCCAGTGGGAGGCCTCAGCGTCTGTTTTTTTTTCTTTTATTTGTCGATAAGTTGTCATCATTTAGTTCCCACTTATAAGTGAGAACATGCAGTATTTGGTTTTCTGTTCCTGCATTAGTTTGTTAAGGATAATGACCTCCAGCTCCATCCATGTTCTTGTAAAGTACATGAACTTGTTTTTTATGGCTGCATAGTATTTTATTGTGGGAGCTGGCCAGCAGCCCGCAATGTAACAGGGGCTCTCTCTTTGTTCCCAGGTGGATCGGCAGGTCGAGAAATAATAGACACACACAAGATAGAGAAAGCTGGGTCCAGGGGTGTTACCGCCTTCTGGTCCCACGGTGCCAACAATGCACTGGATATACCAGCGTTTATTATTACGTTTAGTGAGGGCCAGGGTAGGTTAGTGAGGGATTTAGGATCATTTGATTATGAGGTGAGATGGTTATATGGGCATTAAGTAATTCTTTAACATAACATCTGCATGCAGAAGAATAGTACACAGAGGTAAGAATTTACAACATAGTGTGTGCATCAGTAGTTTCTAACAGAGCCTTAAAACAGAAACACAGTCTTTCCATAACCTATGATTAGCAAGATATTAATCAGCAGTAACAGTTGCAGCAAGAGCTGGGTACAAACAATCCATAGTAACAGGACGTGAAGCTAGACAAATGGTTAGACCAGAAATTCTCAGAAGGGAGTATGCCTTAACCCCAAAGAGGCCCAGAAGACCCGGGGCAAGATGAGGGCGTTTGTAGCCCTATCTTATCCATATGGACAGGTGCCCCCCATGTGTCCATTTATAGGCTCTCCACAAGGGTGGCATTCCATTCCCAGAGCTATGAACATCTGTTTTTCTGGGATAGGAATCTTGGTGATGTGAAACCTCCCTGACTGCACGTCCATTCACAGGCTCTCTGTAGGGGGAAGCACATCACATGCTGTTGGCTCATTCTGGCAGACCAACCTGGCATTGTCTTTACACAATCCTGCATACAATTTTGTATTTACAATAATCAGGAGCATTTCATCTTTTATTCCATAGCAATAGTTTCAGGGGGTCTCCCTACAGTATTCCATGGTGTATATGTACCATATTTTCTTTTTCCAGTTTTCCTTTGATGGGCATTTAGGTTGATTCCATGTCTTTGCTATTGTGAATGGTGCTACGATGAACATATGCATGCATTTCTTTATGATAGAATGATTTACATTCCTTTGGGTATGTACCCAGTAATGGGAATTCTGAGTCAAACAGTGTTTCTGTTTTAGGATAGGTCTTTGAAGTAATCACCACACTATTTTTCATAGTGGTTAAACTAATTTATAATCCCACCAACAGTATACAAGCGTTCTTTTTTCTCCACTACCTCACCGGCATCTGTTATTTTTTGACTTTTTATTCATAGCCATTCTGACTGCTGTGAGATGGTATCCGATTGTGGTTTTGATTTGCATATCTCTAATAATCAGTGATGTTGAACTTTTTATACGTGCTTGTTGGTGGCATGTATGTCTTCCTTTGTAAAATGTCTGTGCATGTCCTTTATTCACTTTTTAATGGGGTAATTCGATATTTTCTTGTAAATTTGTTTAAGTTCTTTTTAACTTTCTATTAGTTTCTGCACAAAGAGTGCAGAAACTCTTTAATTACATCCCATTTGTCAATTTTTGCTTTTGCTGCAATTGCTTTTTGTGTCTTTGTCATGAAATCTTTGTTATTCCTAAGTCCAGAATGGTATTGCCTAAGTTGTCTTCCAGGGTTTTGATAATTGTGGGTTTTACATTTAACTCTTTAGTCTATCTTGAGTTAATTTTTGTATATGGTGTAAGGAAAGGATCCAGTTTCAATCTTCTGCATATGGTTAGCCAGTTATCCCAGCGCCATTTGTTGAATAGAGTGTCCTTTTCCCATTGCTTGTTTTTGTCAGTTTGTTGAAAATCAGACAGTTGTAGGTGTGCAGCCTTGTGTCTGGGCTCTATTCTGTTCCGTTGGAATATGTGTCTGTTTTTGTACCATGATGGCCTTTTCCTTCTTAATTTGCCTTATAGACAACTTGCCACCTGGCAACATTTGGATATGATCACATTTGTATAAAGATAAATGTAAAAATTTTTAAATGAGAATTTCAGACTATTGAAGAAAATAATATTAAAGAGATTCATCAGGGAAATAATTTATCTATTTCATGGTTTCTTTCAAAATGTCTAACATCGTTCTTTTTTATTCTAGTAACAGAATCCTGTGTTTTTTGGGGGAATAGTTCCTCCCTTACTTGATGTGGTCAAGTGAGGCCTTCAGCATGAGAAACAGAGTGGTAGAATTATGAGCCAGGTCGGCCAGTATCTGCCAGCTCCTTGGGCATGGGTTTTGGTTGAGAAAATGGCATATGACACAAACTGGGACAGTCAGATTTGTTTTACTGAATTGAAAGGACACAGAAAGATGACATTTTCTTTTAAAGGTTATTAAGAGTAAGATACATTTTAGCCTAAACCTTCTGGTGCTTATTTGTTCCACCATGTAGAAACATCCCTCAAGAGAATGGAGTCAGCCTGTACGAGCATGGAGCCAAAACACAGACAGGCATATCCCTCAAAATATTTTTGAGTGCTTCTCTCAAGCCGTACCTAAAGCTACTTATAGCTTGACCTTCTCAGTGAGACTCTGAACGCTTTGCATTTGATTTCTGTCCCTTTCATTGAAACATAAGAGAATAATATGTGAAAGCATACATATATAGTTATTTCCTTCATCTATGTCCCCGTCTGGTTTCTGGCCAACATTGTTTATAGCAATTGCAATGGACTGAATATGTATATGTCCTCAAAATCTATATGTTGAAATCCTAACCCTCAAGGTTATTAAGAGGTGGGGCCTCTGAGAGATGATTAGGTCCTGAAGGTGGAGTTCTCATAAATGACATTATTGCTCTGATTACAGAGACCCCAGAGAGATCCTGTGCCCCTTCCTACATGTGAGACCAGAGTGAGAAGACGGCCATCTGTGAGGAATTGGGTCCTCACCAGACCCAATCTGCCTGAGCCGTGACCTTACACCGAATCTGCCTGAGCCGTGACCTTATACTTTCCAGCCTCCAGAACTGTGAGAAATAAACTTCTGGTTTTTTTGTAAGCCAGTCAGTCTGTGGGGTTTTACTATAGCAGGCTAGCCTGAATTAAAACAGCAGTCCATGATAAATGCCATATATACATTAGGAAAAAGGAGACCACAATGCTTAAAACATCTTGCCAAATACACAACCACCTTAAGCTTTTTAGGAAGTCACAAGTATGAGAAAAGTCAGTTCTAGCAGGGGTTTCAGTAAGGTGATTCTGCTTTGTGACAATGGAATCTTTGTAAAAACAGAATTAAAAAAAAAACAAAACCCAAAACTGTTGTACAGATATTCTCCTTTGATTGATTGTGTATCAGAAAGACACTAATTGTTCTTTTTGGGAATACAATTAAGAAATTAAAATGTATACATGCCAAATCAGTAAAATCTAAAAGAGCAAAATTGAAGAATTTTGCCATTAATCTGCATTTAGCCCCATTTGTCATCCAAAAGAGTAATGATCCCATTTTATCAATGTCAAGTTTTAATGCCTTACTTTTATGGCGGGGGCTCTATTTTCTTTCACCTGGTGCACTTTTAAATTTCACAATTAAAGAACAGCATTTACTAAGCTTTAATTAAGTTTGATTAATATGTATGAATATTTCACTCCTATTACTGGAAAAAATTTTTGGACTTTTTTTCAGTAGATGACATGCCAGTCTAATATAAAAATCAGACTTTTAGTTTTGAAATGTTGGCACGTTTTGCTTTGTGGAATATTCCAGTGAATCAAATAATTTCATGTGGTGTATGAGCTTAATGGCATTGGAAACGGCAGGGCCTTGGCTTGTTTTAAATCAGAATTAGAGATGTGCCAACCTGTCAGAACTCCTATGCACAAAGTACACTATAGTTCTTCACACCCTTTTGAGTTCATATCAATCATTTGAAAATAACATTTTTCCCTCAGAATGAGCTGTCACTATCAATTTGAATAGTGGCTGTTGCGCTGGAATGTATCCAAATTTTCAGCAAGCCATTTGGTTCATTATATCACAAACCAAATGACTCGCAAAACCGTATTTTTTCATACCGTTTTAAACCAAATACAGTAATATCTCTGCACGGATTTCAGTCATAATTAAGATATTTTAATGCAAATATCTATTTAGATTTCTATTTTTTCCTATTTTGTTAGTATTTCTGATTCACTTTGCGATATTCAATTAAAAACCATTTTTCTCAGTTTGCAAATGTGTTTCATTCAGTGGTACTCTAATTCTGGTTATATGTGATTACCAAAATGCAAACAAATTTTGTGATGTCCTGTTCCTGTTAGAAAACTGTAAAACACTAAATGTCATTCAATAAAGATCGTGCTCATGATAAAAGAATACTTGTGAAACATAGATCTGAATAAAAAATATTTTTCTCATTTTAGCACAGTTACCATACATGGCATTTCATAAAAGTCCTGTGATTCTAGGATGTTACTTGCACTGATGTGTCATTAAATGTGGCACAATCTTTTTCATGGGACCTACAATGTAAAATCAGCTGCATTTTTTCCTAGAGGAAAACATCTACTGCCCTTCTCTCCTTGCATTTTTGTTTCATTCTATTTCAAAATTAATACATAAGCTTTTGTATTTCAGGAGATAAATTATTTATTTTTTCAACCACAGAGATTTCCATTTGTACAAGCTATCAATTCCAATTGAGTTTGTATTATTAACTCAAATAAGCTTTACAAACTATTATGTAAGACATATTCATAGAGGATTATTGCAATGAAATCACATAAACTTTACAGAAAACATATTTCACAAGTTCTGGAAAAATTAATACCTCAGAAGATATTGTTGATGTAGAAAATATGAAGTCCAGATTGGGGCATTCACTTTTGATTCCTAGATTTCAAATTACTTTGCCACTTTGAGTTTACTCTGTGTTATATATTACATAACATGAGGCTGAAACACTAAACTGCCTATATCACTAGGAAGTTGTAAAAGTAACACAAAGTAACAGGTGTAAAAGGAATTTGAGGCATTGGAAGTGTCACACTGCAGGAAGTACAGAGACATCACCTGCTACAATGATGCTAGAAAATCCAACTTAATTTTACCTACATTTTTAAATGATGTCTGAAAACACCTTTTGCAGCACATTTACTTCTTTCTATCTTTTATCAAAACTTAAAACCTCAGAATTTATTTGTTGGTTCTCCTGGCTAACCGATCAATTCTTGGTAGTTACTCTTCTGTCCTTTCTATTTTGCCCTAGGAAGTCTGCATTCTCATACTGAACAAAATTTTTGGTCTTGAACATTCGCAATTATTTCTTTGATTCTGTGTTCTTCTCTGGTGATAACTTCTCTTTCAATCATAGACAGTGTGCTTCCCACTCCCCTAATTCATAAACATGGTGTTATGGATCATCATGTTACTAATTCACTTTCATTTGCAAATTATTGATCTGACACTACCATTAAAATTACTTCATCAGATTTAATGGCACTTTAGCATGACTTTCTATTTTCATTACCTCGATTTATGCCCAGGATTACATCAGTATCTTGTTCATTTTCTTTGTAATTAGATGTGTTTTGCCATATATGTCAATGACTACTGATTTCCTATTGATTTCTTATTTTTCTTCTAAATTTTGTAAAATTATTATTTTTAATCACCAAATTTCAATGAATTTTATGTGTATTAGGTTTCACTTACACACATGGGCAAATAACACTTGGATCACATCACCCTGAACTATGCTTTGATCCAAAGATTTTAAATTCTAACACTCATAGTCATCCCCAATAGTCTAATTATTGTAATATCTACATCCAATATTTGTATAAAATACTCGCATTCCTTCAATCTTAACTTCAGCATTTAAACCATCTCATATTTTTTCAAAACTTAAGCAGCAAAATGAATGTTCTATCCTTCCATTGACTCTTTGGTGGATCATTTAAAAAATACATTATATTCTCTTTTTATTGTTGTCACTATTATTATTATTATTATTGCCATATTAGTGGGTGTGAAGTGGCATCTTGCTGAGATTTTGATTTGTATTTCCCCAGTGACTAATGATGTTGAGCACCTTTTAGCCATTTGTACATCTCTTTGGAGAAACAGCTATCCAAGGTTTATTCCCATTTAAAAAATTGGTTCTTTGTCTTTCATTGTCAAGTTGTAAGGGTTCTTATATATTCGGGATAGTAGATTTTTACGATATCTTGATTTGCAAATATTTTTTTCTTTTCTGCAGTTGATGAAAATGTGCTGAAATTGGAATCCTCAAACATTGCTGGTGAAAATGTAAAATACAGTTGCTATGGAAAGTAGTTTGTTGGCATCTCAAAAAGTTGAACATAAAATTATTATATGAGCCAGTGATTTCACTCTTAGGTATATACTCAAAAGAATTAAAAACAAGCACGCAAACAAATACTTGCGCATGAATGTTCATTGCAGCACTATTCACAGTAGCCAAAAAGTGGAAACATAACAAATGTTCATCAGAAGATAATAAACAAATGAAATGGAATGGATTCATACAAATATTATTCAGTCATTAAAAATGAAAATAGTTTTATATGCTGTAACCTAGGGGAACCTCAAAAGCATTATCTAAGTGAAAGAAGTCAGACACGACAATCCTATATTATATAATTCCATTTATATGCAGCTTTTAGAATAGATAAATACATATAGACTGAAAGCAGACTAGTGTTTATTGGGGGTTGGAGAAGAGAGATGGGATTGATTGCCTAATGAGTATCGAATTTCTTTTAGAATGATGTAAACACCTTAGAACTAAATAGGGGAGATGGTTGCACAATATTGTAAATGGACTTAATACCACTGAATTGTACACTTTATAAAGGTTAATGCTTAAATTGATGTTACATGAATTTTATCTCAATTTTAAAAGTTAAATATTATAAAATTTTGTAAAACGTCTTAAAATTCTTTCCATCTAACTACAGTACTATCTTTGGGTATCCAGTAAGATCTGTTTGTGCTTCCACTCCTCACTGACGATTTTTTTTCATCGTATGTAAGACTTTCATTTCTTTAGCCACCTTTCATACCATTTCTCTTTTTCCAGCAAGAAATGTCTCATTCTTTTCCAAAGTTACAGTTTTTACATATATTGGCTTCATACCCTCTTCTAGGTCCTGCTTCATCAATTAAACCTACTCTTCCTCTTTTCTGTTTACCTGCCATCCATATTTTGTCCTTTCTTCTGGATCTACACATTTAACTTGATTGATTTACTGTTGGTACCTTCCTTTACCTTCACTCCATATGAAAACATCTACCCCTCTTTCTTTAAATTTTAACAGCACTCATCCTGAATGAGGGAGATGAAATACATCTAAGGCACTGGGATTGTCTATTGTATTTGAGAAAGGGTCAGCAAAATATATCCTATGGGCCAAATATGGCCCAACATCTATTTTGTAATTAACATTTTGGGGAACAAGGCACACTTATTCACTTATATATTGTCTGTAGTTACTCATATTACAATGACAGTGTTGAGTAGTGAACACAGAGACAATATTGCCCACAAAACCTAAAATATTTACTATCTGGCCCTTATAGAAAAAAAATTCAGGTTCCTATATTGAAATATCAATAGATTTCAGAATTCTATATTAGAGTAACAGTAGGTATTTTAAGAGATAAAGCTCCAAATCTCTGGATTTACATGATAGAAATGTATTCTCACCTAAATTCTATGAAATAGCGATATGGATTCAGGAAACAAGCTTGCAGATGCTTTCCGAAAGTGCCTGGACTTCAACTGGCACGTGGTCAAAAAAAATGTGAATAATTATATTGAACTTTTCCTATTTTTCTTTCTTCTTTAATAGAATATACCTTTAATTGTTATATATTGCTTCCACCAATGCCACCTTCTGGTTATACTTCTACTACTAGCTCAGTCATGCCTCTTCAGAGGTGCAGGGTACCAGTAACTTCTTGGAACTTTAACTCCTTAGATTTCTAAGGAGAGAAAACATTTCCTCCCAGTTCCAGATATACCTGCAACAGGCTTTGAAAATCCTCCTCGAGCTCTGGATCTTAGCTGTGGAGAGGGCTTCTTCTAACTGTTTGCATTTAGACAGTATCAATTCCTGGTGTTTCCTGGATCTGGCTAAAATGACAACAGTGACATAATGCCAAGTTCTGCTGAAAGGTAACTGGAGTAGACTAAGAGTCTCTTATCTCAATCCAGAGTTGTTTTGAGGGCTTGGACTGGGCAGGTCTTGCATGTAAGAGAATGAATATTGTCAGTGCTTCTAGAGACGGAGAACACAACACTTCAGACATTCTCCTGAGAAAAATGGCTTTCCTTGTGTGTCTGGTTTGTTGTTGTTGTTGTTTGCTTGTTTGTTTTGTTTTTGAGACGGGAGTTTCACTTTTGTTCCCCAGACTGGAGTACAATGGCACGATCTTGGCTCACGGCAACCTCTGCCTCCAGGGTTCAAGCGATTCTCCTGCCTCAGCCTCCCAGGTAGCTGGAATTACACTCATGTGCCACCACGCTCGGTTAATTTTGTATTTTTGGTAGAGATCGGGTTTCTCCATGTTGGTCAGGCTGGCCTCAAACTCCCGATCTCAAGTGAGGCCTGCATCGGCCTCCCAAAGTTCTGGCACTGCAGGCATGAGCCACCGCACCTAGTGTCTATTTTATACAACAAACTATTTAAACGCTTTGACTCGAGCTTCGAGCAAGAACTGGTTATAACGTACCATATTGAAGGACAAAACATAATGAATTCATCAACGGATCAATATAATGAGTGTTTTCTTCTTCCCAATCCTCAGTATTCTACATGTTTCTCTTATATTTCAAAATACCGAAGTACATTATTTTAACTGTTATTAAATACCTCTTTCTTTTTGAAATCTGTGTTCTTGTCTTCTTTAAAGCCCCTTGTTTTCCTCATATATATCCCAGACTATTCCACCTTTATCTCTCTTACTAAATCTATATCCTAGCACCAACTAGTCATTGCCCTCACTGTTAATTATGACCAGATTCTGTACTTGTTTTTAATATCTCATTTTTCAAAAGTTGTCTGCAGTTTCCCGTTTCCCACATTCAAAGATCACCATTATTTTATCATTTACATTTCTATGTACTTAGTACTAATGTATTTTTTTCAATTACTAAATATAACATACAGAGGAACAGGTTTATAGAGTATTTTAGTGCACCGTAGAAATAAAGCGAGCAGTTGTGTAAACAATATTCTTATTCCTGTGATTAGAAATTAGAACCCGGTAGATCTCTAAATTCATTTTTTTTTTTTAATTATAAGGCCTGCCCACTGTCTTCAGATAAATACTTTCCTGACTAATTTTCTTCTGTTCTGATTTTATTCATAGATTTTATCACCTAAGTTTTCATCCCTAAACTATAATTTTGTTTTGCATATTTTGAATTTATATTATTGTAGTCATACTTTTCAAGTTCATTTTGGCTAGCTTATTTCCCGCAGCATTACATTTTAAAATGCATCCATGTTCCTGTATACTGCTACCGTTTGCCTTTTATTGCAGTATAAAGTCTAATTGAACATGCAATTATTTAATCAGCTATAATATTTGTGATGGCTATTCAAGTTAGTTCCAGTTTTGTCAATAATAATCTATGGCTTGTGAACATTCTAGTACGTACATTATGGTGTTCATAGGGGAAGTTTTATAAACAGCAGAAAGAAAAATTGTGGCATAACAGGACTTGTGTTATTTTAAATGCTATTAGATGATATCAAAGGTTTTCTAAACTGAATTTACCAATTGATATCTCAATTAGCAATGAATTAGAGTTCCCATTTCTTTGTATCTTTCTTGTAATTGCTTTTATGTACAAAAACTTTCCTGATTTTACATTTTTTTCACTTGGATAATGACACAATTAATTAAAAACCATATTTTCACCACTCTTTTCTTTAATAACTTCTAATAGCTTTTAAAATGTTTCATGATTAGCTTTCCCGTATCTGGTTGCATGTACTTTAAAGATGTCATATATTTTGATGTAATAATAACTGGTAGCTTTTAAAACTTCATTTTCTAATTAGCAGATTATCTGCATAAATAAGTAAAATATCTATTTTTACATAATTTTCATATATAGCAGCTATATCAAAAAATTTTAATGATTGTAATATTTATCTGGAGATTACTTTTCAGATTATTTCTTTTTCTTCGAGATGGAGTCTCGCTCTGTCGCCCAGGCTGGAGTGCAGCGGTGCAATCTCCGCTCACTGCAAGCTCCGCCTGACCGGTTCACGCCATTCTCCTGCCGCAGCTTCCCAAGTAGCTGGGACTATGGGCGCCCGCCACCACGCCCAGCTAGTTTTTTTGTATTTTTAGTAGAGACGGGGTTTCACCGTGTTAGCCAGGATGGTCTCCATCTCCTGACCTTGTCATCAGCCCGCCTTGGCCTCCCAAAGTGCTGGGATTACAGGCGTGAGCCACCACGCCTGGCCTCAGATTTTTTTCATATCTCATCTCGCTTTTGTAAACACTTGCAGTTTGTTTTTACCTCTCCAATTATTTCACTTTTTTTCTTTGTTTTCATATATTTACTTACATGCATTTTAAATTGAACGTGTCAAAATTAAATATGTTTACAGTGTACATTGTGTTTTGTTATATGTATACATGTGAATAATTAAATCAAGCTAGGAACATATCTATCACTTGAAATACTTTTCATTTGTTTGTGAACATTTAAGATATCTGTTGGAATTTTTCAAAAATGCAATACATTATTAACTACAGTCACCATGCTGTTTTCAAAAATGCAATACATTATTAACTACAGTCACCATGCTGTACAGTAGATCTTTAGAGCTTACTTATCTTATTTAACTGAAACTTTGCACCCTTTAAGGAACATCTCCCCATTCCCCTGGACCTTACCACCATAGCTTCTGTCAACCACCATTCTACTTTCTGCTTCTATAAGCGACTATTTTAGAGTCCACCTGTAAGTGAGATCATGCTGTTTGTCCTTCTGTGATTGACTTATTTCATTTAGCATGTCATATTGCATATTTATTCATGTTTTTGCAGATGACAGGATTTTTCTTTTTTTTAAGTCTGAATGGTACTACATTCATTTCATTATTTTCCCTTTGATCATACAACCAGAAATAGGATTGCCAAATTATCTTTCTATATTTTAAAAATTTGAGGAACCACTATATTGTTTTCCAAAATTATGGCTCCAATTTAAATTTCTACCAACTGCATACTAGGATTTCCTCATATCTACATCCTCAAGAGCAGTTATTGTTTACCTTTTTGATAACAGCCATTCTAATAGTCATGAAGTTTGATTTAATAGTTTATTGTGGTTTGATTTTGCATTTCCCTTAAGATTAATGATGTTGCATATATTTTCACATATCCATTGGCCATTTGCAAGTCTTTTCTTGAGAAATGCCTGTTTAGGTCTTTTACCCCTTTTTTAATTGGATTATTATCATTACTTTGCTATTGAATTGAGTTTATTATATATTTTAGATATTGACTCCTTATCAGATGTCTGGTTCACAAATACTGTGCCCCATTCTGTAAGTTGTCTCTTTGTTTGTTGTTTCCTTTGCAATGCAAAGCTTCCTAGTTTGATGTGGTTTTATGTCTGGTGTCGCTTTTGTTGTTATGCTCTTTTGGGTGATAACAAAAAAATTATTACCCATACCAATGTCAAGAAACTTTTCTTTCATGGTTCTTTCTAGCAGTTTTATAGCTCAGTCTTTAATTCATTTCAAACTGATTTTTGTATATGGCATGAGATAAGAACCCAATTATATTCTTTTGCATGTGAATACCCAAATTTTTCCAACACTGTGTATAAAATAGATTGTCCTGTTCCCATAATGTTTCCAGCACCTTTGTCAAAATTTGATTTACTCTAAATACGTGAGTTTATTTTTGGTATCTCTTTTAGTTCCCCTGCCATTGGTCTACATAACTGCCTTTATGCCAGCATTATGATGTTTTGATTACTGCAGTTTTGCAGTGTATTTTGAAATCAGGTAATGTTATGCTCTAGCTTTGTTCTTTTGTTCAAGATTTCTTTGGCTATTTGGATCTTTTGTTGTTCCAACTAATTTTAGAATATTTTCTATTTATGTGAAAAATATCATTGGTGTTTTGATATGGATTACATCAAATGTTTGTATCAAATTGGATAGTACAGACAGTTTAACATTATGTAGCCTTCCAATCCATGAACATGGGATATACCTTTATCTGTTTGTGTCTTGTTTAATTTCTGTCATTAATGTTTTGCATATAAGTTTATTAGAGATAATGGCCTATAATTTCATTTGCTTGTAGTGTCTGGCTTTGGCATAAGGGTAGTGCTGGCCTCATAAAGTGTACTTAGAAGTGTACTCATCTCTTTAATTGTTTCGCATTTTCTATTTCTTCATGGTAATCTTGATATGTTGTATGTCTTCAGAAATTTGTTCATTTCTTCTAAATTATTCTGTTTGTTGATACATAATTATTCATAGTGCTCTTTTATAATCTTTTTATTTATTTGGTGTCAGTTGTAATATCTCCTTTTTTGTTTATGATTTTTGTCTTCTCTTTTTTCCTTAGTTGGTCTTATCTAAAGGTTTGTCAATTTTATTTTTAAATAAACAAATTTTGTGGATAATTTCTATTAATTTTTGAGACTCTTCTTAATTTTATTTCTGCTCTGACCTTTATAATTCCCTTCCTTCTTCAGAATTTGGTCTCAATTCTTGAGGTGTAATGTTAGGTTGTTTATTGAAGATCTTTCTTCTTAATGTTTGAGTTTATCACTATAACTTCTTTTAAATTTTGCTTTGGATTTCTTCTTTAACCTTTTGATAGTTCAGGAGTATTTGTTTAA